ACACCATGCAATTATGGTGGCCAAGCAAGACCACTAGCAAGGACCATTTTTGTTTGGGATGACAGTGGGACCTCATTGTCCAATAATTGTTAGACAAATAACTAGTACCTGAAACAGAGAGTTGCATTTAATAGCCCTGTGACTGGGAACAGCATTATTCACTCATTCGGGATACCGCTCTGCTCAAAGTTTTTAAAATTATATTTCATATTAACTTGTGAGACAATGGGATTTCATAAGGCTTCTTAATACATCTTTCCTTTTGACTCTGCCTCTCTTCCTTCTTTCTTCATGTCTCATCCCCAATTAAACATTAGTACATATTCAATACTGCATTCTTTTATAGCGCATATATTCTACTATCTTCTCTTATTATATTTTCACTTGGGTTGCAAAATGATCAGCTCCCATGTAGCTTCTTCATATACATTTCATTTAAGTTGACTTGCCTTAATTAGTGTTTCTATTGTGTGATGAAACACCATGACCAAAAAGCAAGTTGGGGAGAATAGGGTTTGTTCAGCTTACACTTCAGCATTGCTGTTCATTAGCAAAGGAAATCAAAATAGGAATTTAAACAGGGCAGAAACCTGGAGCTGATGCAGAGGCCATCTATGGGTGCTGTTTACTGACTTGTTTTCCTTGACTTGCTCAGCCGGCTTTTTTTTTTTTTAAATAGAACTGAGGATCACAAGCCCAGAGATAGTACTACCAACTATGAGCCACTCCCTTCCATATTGATACTTACTTGAGAAAATGCCCTACAACTGGATCTCATAGAGGCATTTCCTCAACTGAGGCTCCTTCCTCTCAGATGACTCTAGCTTGTGTCAATATAACACAAAAAAAAAACAGCCAATAATGACCTTTCAGCATCTTCTTCTTTTTGCTACTACTCTACTACATGTTTGAACCATTCCTGCCCCCAGGATTCTCATTCTTTAATATCACCTATATTCTACTATTTATCCTCACTTCCTGTATCTATCCACTAATGGTCCATTTCTAGATCCCTGACTTTTACATGTGGTCTTTCTAGAATGCACAAAACAAAAATTTCAAGCCAAGAGACACATTTTCATTTTTTTAGTGTTAGGTGATAGCCATCTATGTTTATTATGCATGCTCTAAATAAAGTAACAATGAGTATGATGGGTAGATGCTCATAGAAAAGATGTCAAGTTTTTTGATTTTTTACCCTCGAGTGTTTTTTGTGCATCAGTTTCCTTTGAGATTAAAAGCTTTCATCTTGGAGGAAGCACCAAAAACCAAAAGAAGTATAGGAATTTGATGAAAGAAGTAAGCTAAGAATTAGACAACTTATTAACTTCAGGAAGTTGCGGAAACTGCCAAGACTCAAGCATAAATAATTGGTAAGGGCTGCTGACACTGTCAGACAAGCTGAGCCGCACAAAAGATGCTCATACCAACCATGAAGCAGACACCAGTCGAGTTGCCTGGGCCAGACAAGACAAGACAAGACAAGACAAGACAAGACAAGACAAGACAAGACAAGCTGACTGAGTGGCTTGGAAGACACTTCCAACCTCCTTTGAGCTGCCTGCAAGCTGTGCAGTGATCCCCAGGTTTCCAGCTTCATTAGCTATTTCCCTCACAGGATGATGCAGCTGTCATTTAGTTCTTTATGCTTCTGTAAGTAACTCCTCACCCCACTTTTGTAAGTCACCCCATTAAAACTCACTAGTCCACTGGGTTTAGGAATGACTCAGTGCTTAAGAACACTGTCTGGTTTTTCAGAAGACTCAGCACACTTTGAATTCCTAGCACCCTCACACGGGTAGGTCTGTAACTTCAACTCCAGGGCATCCAATTCCCTCTTCTCGGAACACACATGGTGCACAGACATACATGCAGACAAGAATGCCCCCCCCAAAGAAAACAATCACCATTGGTTCACCAAGTTAGACTTTGTTGCTTTCCACTTGGTTTGTCTTTGTTCCCACAGGAATACTGTCACATATCAGTATTGTAACTGGACTACACAATACTTTTCTTCTTTCATTTTTTTCATTTTTATTAGAACATCTACACTGATGCCAAAAGTTTATTCTCTAATTCTCATTCCCACGGCAGTGTATAACCACATATGCTAACATTAGTTATCATTTCCTTTCCTGATGATGGGCATTGTAACTTGGGCAGCATGGAAACTTAAATGCATCCTAGTCTGCATTTCCTGATAGGTATATAACTTTTGAATGCTAGTTTTGGTTTTACTTTGGTTTATTGATGTTTGTTCCTTTGCTTTATTTTTTTTACATTTAAAAATTTGACTTCATTATATAATTAGAACATTTCTCCTCCTACTTTCCTCCATTCAAACTCTTCCTTAAACCCCTCCCTGCTCTTTCAAATTCATAGCCTCTTTTTCATTAGCAATATTGCATATATATATATATATCTACATACATATGTTCTTAAATAAACTGCTCAGTTTATATAATATTACTTGTATGAATGTTTTCAAGGCTGAACATTTGGTATTGGACAAGCAGTTGATGTGCTTGTCCTTGGTAGAGACTATTTCTTCTGCTCCCAACATTCTCCTATATTGCCTATTGTTTCCACTGTACAAAGGTCTCAGGCCAGTGGGTCTTTCCTCATCCATTTTAGCAAGTCCATAGTTTATAACTTTATAAGCTTGTTCAGATCCTGTTTGGGTTGTCATGTAGGTGAAATTTTATGGATGTAGCTTCTGGAGACACAACCTTACAATCTCAGCAAATTCTATGATTCTATGTTTCTTACAATATCTATTCCCCTTCTTCAAAAAATGGTCCTTGAGTCTTGGTTAAAGGAGAGTTTTGTCGATATATCCATTGGGCTTGGTCTCCATGACTCTGGATTTTCACTAGTTGTAATTATTTTTTAGCAGACTCTGTTGCAAAGAGAAGTTTCCTTGATGAGGGTGGAGACTACGTTTATTTGTGGGATTACGCTCGTTTAGAAAAGAGCTGGATCTTGGTTCTTCTCTAACATTCTTGACTTCCCCAGCACCAAGTAGGTAGCCAGGTGTCTAGTACCAGTTATGGTTTCTATTTTTGTTACAAGAGCCTTAAGTCCAATTAGAGAGCTGTTGGTTAACAATAAGGCATGACTGCCACTACTGCACTCTTAGGGTTATTGTACCATGAAGACCACTGATGTAGGTCATAGGCATTATAGCTGGGTAGGACTGTTCATTGGCTTCCTCCATTGGAAGCTTACACTGTACTTCTGGTACCTTAAAAGCTATTCTACAAGAAAGAGTTTTCTTTGTTTCGAGACAGGGTCTCTCTGTGTATTACCGACTGCCTAAGACACGCTGTGTAGATCAGGATGGCTTTGACCTCAGAGATCTCCTTGTTCCTGCATTCTGAGAGCTGGATTCATAGGCTTGTATGATCTTGCCCAACTATACATCACTTTTTGTTATCATGTCCTGACAATTACCCAAGGTAACTTCACCACATACCTGATAGTCATGAGTGAACAAATGGGTCTTCTGTTTATTAACATTAAATTTTCAACTCCACTAAATTACAAACTCTAATTAAAATAGACAAGTGCATATAATATATGAAACTAAAACAAGAAGACATAAATAATGTAAGCAGAACTAGAAGTAGCAATGAGATGGAACCAGGAATGCCTCCCCTGAAAAAAATCCCAATACCAGGACCATATTGACAGGATTCTATCAGAACTTCAAAGAACTAACAGCAAAGCTACTTTAATACTTTTTGACAAGAAAGGAAGACTTCCTGACTCTTACTATTATCTGACATTAAAACCAGATAATGATACAACCAAAAAGAAATTACAGACTAATATGGTCATTTAAAAAGTGTGTTATTAACTATTTCACACAACATACACACAGCATGTTCCTTAAATACTGCCCACTCTTGCCTCATGCCTCTCTGCTATGGGTCCACAATTCCAACAAATTCATTGTGTTCATCTCCATTCATTTTGCTTGGGATCCCCTGAGATTAACCGGGACCATGTGTGAGACTGTGGGTTTGGAGGTATGTGTTTGAGCCTGCTAGACTCAGCAGAGGACTACAGTTAAATGTAGTGATTCTTCTCCTACAATCCATCCATAGCCAACATTTGAGAGATAAAGAGTGGGCCTTGTGAGCCTTGCCCTCTCTTAGATTAATTTGATCTAGTGCGAGGATAATGCAGGTAAGTATGGTTGCTGCTGGTTACTGATTACAGCAGCTGTATGGAGTCTTAGCCCTTCCTCCTCTTTCCCTTATTTCTTTTCCTCCTCTTTCTCAAAGGTCCCAGTCACAGACTGTCTTAGGATTGGGACCACATACTTCCTTTATTTTCTGAATTTGGGACAGCAAGACACTCTTCATTCACCTCTGCGTTAAAAAAAAAAAAATCTATGCTTTATCTCAAAGCACCTTAAGCATGCATTATAGAAGACAAACTCCTTTCTGAGTGATTAAAATGACAAGATCACCTTCTAGGAGGTGAGAGCAGAACAGCGCGGAATGAACTCAGCCCTGGGATGTTAGCGATGGACTGACCTGACTTCTTGAGACACCTATTTTTTTTTTTTTATCCAAGGCACAATTGCAAATTTTGGTTTTCACTTGTCATATTTTTGTTGGCGATGGGATGCTGGCATCTAAATTTAGCGTATTATCGTTTGGTGTAACTATACAGCCCGGGAGGCTGATAGTCAGGTCGAGGTTAGGCTGCCTGTTTTTTCTCTGAAGAGGTCAGAACTCCCTGTGGGGTCAAGTGATGGGCTGCGTTGTCCTCCTACTTCCAGGTCTGGTTTAGGCTGGCAGCAAGCTGTGCAAATCAAGTCCAGGACAGCAGGAGACACAGCGGGAGGTTCAGTGGGGCGGAGACACTCACCCGGAAACAGCGGTTGAAGGAGATCTTTGGCCCTTGTTGAGGTAGTGGGAGGGCTTAGAGGCATGACGTAGGAGGAAGCTGGGAAGCGGCTTTACTGATGCTTGGAAAATTGGGCGGAAGAGCCGAAGCCTGAAGTGCCCAGTGCTGGTTCCCCGTCGTTGCTTCGGGACCTGCACCGTCTGGGATCGAGAGGTGCAGACCTGGGAGCGGAGGACACTGCCGGGTGTCTCGGGGACGCGAAAACTCCCGGAGCCGCAGTCTCCGCGGGGCGGCCTGGGAAAGTCAGCAGCGCAGTGGGGAAACCGCAGACTGGCGGCCCTGGAATCTCCCAGGTCAGTGGAGCATCCTGATTTTAATTCATCGTCTCTGGTCGCCGAAATAGTGTTATAAAGATAATTGAGTAGAACATTTGTATTTATTTGTTGATGCTTGCAAAGGCGTTTCTCTTTGCTATGATTGTAAGAACAAAGCTCTCGAAATTTACATCATCCCTGTTAATTTCTGTGTTCTACCTGGTACTTAGCATCCCGGCAGAGCTTTTTGATATTAGTCATGAGAGGACGTGGAAGGGTTTTTCAGCTCAAGGACAGCTTTGCAATCAGGTGTGATGGAACACAACAAAGCAAACCATGCAACAAACCTAATGCCAGAGACTTATTAGGGAAAACCAGACTGGGGGCAGCACTGAAAGGGAAGAGATACAGTGGAAGGCTGGGCGGAGGTTGGGCTTGTACAGTGTCTTTGGATCATGTGCAGGGTGATAGTGGAAATGTACAGGGGGGCCTGAAGTATTACTTAATGCTGAAATGGTGAATATCTATTAACAGTTAATCACGGGACTTGCTTTCCAGGTTGTAAGCCTCTTGAGGCACAGGCTTGGCTAGACCCCTCCCTACCCGCCCATTACCCCAGAATGCTCTAAGGGTCATAAGTGCCTTTTTTATTAGTCCCTTCAGACAGAAGAGTGGCCAGGCCCAATACCTGGCCCCAAAATTCCAGTAATCCCTGATTTTGCCCTAAGATCAGGCCACAAATTCTCTCCAATCCCAGGTCACCCTGGAAAGCTCTATCCCTCTTCACGCTCCCCTAAAATACTGTATCAATACAATTTCCTGCTTAGTTCTTTGATGATTCTCCTCAGAGGAGAGGCTGTGTTTTTCCCTCCCAGTAAGTCTCTACTGAGTTTTGTTTTTCCGTTTGGCTTTGTGGTATTCCTTGATTCCCAGCTGGCAGGATGCCTTTCCCTTCAGAGCTGCAAGGCCTGCATTGGGTAGTGCTTTCCTCTCTACTGTAACACTTGCATCAGTCTCGGAGTTCTGGGGAAGGAAGGGGCAGAGTCATCTTCCGCTGGCCTGTTAACCTACATAATGGCCTGCAGATTGAATTGAATCTGAAATATATTTTTGAAAGTTTCACAGATACGGTTATAAACATAAAGAAATACAGGTTTAAAAGTAAACTTTTCATCCTCTATTAACTTTTCATCTAAGGCATATGCACTCTAGGATGTAAATGGAGCATTCTGAAAAGTGTCTTTGCCAGGCTTGGTGGCACACATCTGGAATCCCAGCAGTGGGAAAGCAAAGGAAGGCAGATTGCAGTGAGTTGAAGGCCAGTAATATGTACATAGTGACTTCCAGGACAATCAGAGCTACATGGTGAGATCCTGTCTCACAAAAAGAAGAAAACAAGGAAAAAGAAATGTGTATTTTTGTGCTGAGGTCTTAATGTACAGATTAGAACCAGGAAAAGCACAGTCTGCTGTTTGAAGGTCTCAGGTCACAGTCTTTTCACAGCTAAAAAGGGCATTATAGTGTCAATTGGTGGTGGCACACACCTTTGATCCAGCACTAAGGAGGCTGAGGCAGATGGATCTCTGTGAGTTCAAGGCCAACCTGGTCTACAAGAGCTAGTTCCAGGACAGGCTCCAAAGCTACAGAGAAACCCTGTCTTGAAAAATCAAAAGGAAAAAAAAAAGGGCATGGGCATTATAAACCTGGTCGGGGAGTGGCACATACCCTTAACTCCAGCATTCTGGAGGCAGAGACAGGTGAATCTTGGAGTTGCTGGCCATCCTGATCTACAGAGTAAGTTTAAAGCTAATGAGGGGTATAAGAGAGGAACCCTATGGGGAGGGAAGAGAAGGAAAGAAAGGCTGTGGCTTACTAGATAAGGTGCCTTCTGCAGCTATGTGGCACACCCCTGACTCTACCTACTCTTTTTCAATATTTTTGTTTGGATTTCCTGCATGGCTTTATTCTGCTAAGCAATTGGTCCAAAGAACTGTATTCATCAACCAATAAAAGCAACACATATACAGAAGGACATCCCACATCATCTCTCCTTTTCTGTCTAATTAAAAGGGAAGGCTTTAACTTTAACATAGTAAAATTATATATAACAAAAACAGGTATCCAGCAAGAATTACAGTTACAATATTTAGTCTATATCTGGCAAAAATAAGGAAAATATACTATCATCTATTTTATATTTTTGAGTCTAAAATTTCATACCTCATTTATGTTTTAGTATAACTAAGGAAAACTATAACTATCTGTCTTCAACACTTTAAAGACCCCAGAAGGATATATTACCTAAGTTAACAAGAAGTTCATTGTAAGTGACTTCCAATACTCTAGAATTGACAGAGACATCTCTCTGCCTGCGCAGTCTTCCAAAGTTCTTCTGTATTGTTGCAGCATCCATCTTCAGCCTCCTGCCTTATATTCTCTCTGCCCAACTATATCACTTCCTCTCTGTACTGGTTTCCAGACCTCTGTGGTTAACTAGTGGCTAATTCTGCCCTCTGATATTCAGGCAAGCTTTATTTGTTAGAATACAAACAAAAGATCTCCACAGTACTGTGTCAGAAATCCAAGTGCTTCCTGAACAATCTCTTTCTCATGTATAGGGTTCACTGATCACCCAGACCTGCTCACCTGTGCAGCAGGACAAAGGGCCTGGAAGGAGAGGAGACAGCAGCTAAGGATGCAGGTATGGTAGAGGGACTGGTGAAGGGGAGGAAAGGGGATCAAGTAAATGTGGAAGTGGGACAATCAGTTTTACCACTTCCTGTTTCACTCAAAATTATTCTGGACACTTCCACTGAGAAAAATGTCTGGATTTTCATAATATAAGCATGAGAAGACTTTCTGCAGAAGAAAATTGTAATTGATTATGCATGTGACTGATGCTGTCCTTATTCATTCACTTCACTGATTATGTTTCATACCATTTTTAAATCATTTTATTCCTTGAATTTTATATATTATAAAAACAATGAAAATTAATACCTCTAAGTTTATTTATTGTTTTCAGAATTTTTGAGCTTTGGTATTCTAACATTCTCTACCTTTTAGTGTTTTTGTCTTCATTCCTGAAAATAATGCCAGCATGGTTTTGATAAGCACCTGGAAGTATCCTGCTAAACTCCATGTGTACTGTCTCCTATTGTCTGTCGAAAATTATGCTAAATATTTAGAATGCAGTAAGGACCTATGCTGATTTTGTAAAGTATTGGTTGTAGGTTCTCCTCCAAGATCCCTGACTTCAGTAGCTTTAGGGAAACTGACAAGGTTTCCAGTCCCAGGCCTGTTTTTCCTCTTGTTGAAATGACCTTAATCTAACTAGAAGCTGTTGGTTACCACCAAGGTTTGTGTGCCATTCTTGCACCTTTAGGGTTTGGATAATTTTTGTGGTTCATAGGTGTCATAGCTGGGTTGGACTGTTGGGTGGCTCCCTCGTTTGGAAGCTTGGATGTTGCCTTCTGGCACCATGAAAGCTAGTCCCCAGGCATGAAGCTTTAAGGTCAGTTCCATCTTGAGTTCTGTAGGGACTCAACCTCTGCCTCTAATTGGCAACCATGGGCAACAGCAATACCATATAATGTTTGGAGGTCTCTTGCACAGCTGTGACCAACAACCTCTAAGCATGCTTCTTACCCTTGGTGTCGGTCATCTTATTAGAAAATCTATGACTCTTGTGACGAGTTGTAGTGTAACTTCTATTTGGTCTTAATAATAAATCCTGGAGTCAGATGTAGAGGTTAATGCTGAAAGATCAGAAAAGCAGAGAAGCCACCCACTAGAGAGTTTTTACCTCTACCGATGTTCAGACCAAAAGGGCGATCCTGTTTCTATGGATCCTCAGACTAAATGCTCTGTTGATGAAATTTCAGATTGAATGCTGTCTCCATGAAACCTCAGACTGCTCTGAGATCCTGTCTCCTGCCTTTTTTTATCCTCTCCTCCCAACCATATCACTTCTGTCTCCACCTCCCTACCTCAGTGATTAAAGGCATGTGATCCAGAGTGCTAGGATCAAATGTGTGAACTCTTTCTCTTTCAGACTGATCTCAAGTAGCCCAGTGTAACCTTGAACTCACAGAGATCTGTCTCTCCTGAGTGCTGGGATTAAAGGTGTGTGCCTTTAATTAAAGAGGTTACTGCTTAACCTCTAGACCTAACTAGTATGTTACCTCTGCACTCTGATATTCAGGAAAGCTATATTTGGTATGGCACAAACAAAATATCACCACAAGGAACCTCATCAGTGCAGTTGGGAAATTTTCATTTATACTCTAAATGTGTATGCTTACTGAGATTTGTATGTACTATAGACATTTTTGGTGAATGGATAATAGTCAAGGAATAGATGGATTCCTTATGAATTTTCCAGACATCCTTTTTGTTACCTTCCTTCTTCTGTGTTTACTGCTGTCCCTTCTTCATAATTAAATCCTCACTCCTGTTTTTTATTTCTCCCTTCAGATCATTTGTTCCCTGTTACTTCTGTCTCTATTACTACCCCACACCCCACAATGCTGTCCTTTTACTTTTCTGGTTACTGCAGTCACTCCAGGTTGTGGACTCACATCTGAAGATTTGGAGCTAGGAACTTCCTAGTGTTGTAATATGCTGCAGTAGGCTGTGTTCCCGCCCAGTTCCGCACGGCTAGCTTTACCCAAAATAATTACACGGAAACAGTATTCTTTTAAACACTGCCTGGCCCATTAGTTCCAGCCTATTATTGGCTAATTTTCACATCTTGCCTTAACCCATTTCTAATAATGTGTGTAGCACCATGAGCTTGTGGCTTACCAGGGAGATCTTAACCTGCGTCTGTGTCCACTGGGAGAATCATGGCGACTGCCTGACTCGGCTTCTTTCTCCCAGCATTCTGTTCTGTCTACTCCACCCACCTAAGGGCTGGTCTATCAAAGGGCCAAGGCAGTCTCTTTATTTAACCAATGAAATTAACACAAAACAGAAGACTCTCCCCCATCATCCTAGGAGAGAGAACATGCATTGTCTGTGTTTCTGGGTCCAGGTTACCTCAATCAATATGATCTTTTCTAGGTCTATCCATTTACCTGCAAAGATCATGATTTCAAATTTTTTACAGCTCAATACTATTCCATAGTGTATGTGTACCATATTTTCACTATCCATTTGTCAGTTGAAGGACACTTAGGTTGCTTTCCTTTTTGTACGTATTGTGAGTAGAGCAGCAGTGAGCGTGTGTGAGCCAGGATGTCGAGTCCATTCAGCCTATGCTGAGGAATAGAACAACTGAGCCATGTGCTGAAGTTATTTAGTTTGAGAGTTTGTTTATTTAATTGAGAACTCTCTATTTTGATTTTTAGTGTGGCTAGTTTTTTTGCTCCTGGCATTTTTATTTCCAATGGTTTTATTTTTATGTTGTTACTGGTTGAATTATTCATAGTATTCTTCTTTTTGAGTAACAGTGGTTTACTGTATGGCTTATAGATGAACACTTTCCAGTTTTCTTATATTTATCTATTCACATGAAATTTATTGTTTCCCATGTTCTCTTGGATTATTCCTCTGATTTTCCTGTGCATATTTTACCTCTAATGTATTTGATAAAATCAATTTTGTTAATTGGTGACTATTTTGAATATACTTATATTTCCATCAATTTTAAGAGAGTAGTTTTCTTTCCGCAACAAGATGTTTGGTGGTTATTTTCTCTCCAAGTTTCAAATCTCTTTCCACGCTCTCTTGTCTTTGGGATCATTGATTAGACACCTGCTCTTATTCTTCTGGTTGAGTATTTTCATGTGGTTTGACATTGTTCTCTGTTTTCAGTATTATTCTTTCAGTATGACCCCTTCATTTGATAGGGAAATAATCTATGTATTCATTATTCTTGAAAGAGAAACTCAAAGAAGAGAAACAGTAAGTAATGGCTAATGGTCCAGTATGCATATTGTAGGTTAGTGGTCTTTTCCACTCTTTATCTAAATATGTAGTACTTTGATACATTAAAAGCCTTTAATTTTCTGCCTTTGATAAAATTATAAAATTTTATTATGAACAATTCTGCAAATAGACACACAATAAAATCTCTCATTAAAGTTCAGCAGACAAAAAAACTGTACAACTCAGAGTACTTTTATATAGTCATCATAGGGAACAGAAGCTCTGGAGCCTCACATGGGATTTTATATTTTCACTATTGAATGTATTTTGATTTTCTTATCCACCACCAAAAGCCCAAAAACTTTTTTTTAAATTTATTTATTTATTAAAGGTTTCTGTCTCTTCTCCGCCACCGCCTCCCATTTCCCTCCCCCCTCCCCCAATCAAGTCCCCCTCCCTCGTCAGCCCAAAGAGCAATCAGGGTTTTCTGCCCTGTGGGGAGTCCAAGGAACCCCCACCTCCATCCAGGTCTAGTAAGGTGAGCATCCAAACTGCCTAGGCTCCCAAAAACCTTTGACAGAATTAGAACTAGAAAAGCCCTTAACTTTATATCCTTTTTCATAATTGGTATTCATTACCAGCATTCCATCACTGATAATTTAACCTTTCCTATTCTCTTTTCTTCGTGTTATACTGTGCCCTCGTATATATTGTTTATATATATAAACAATTATATACATATATATATATATATATATTATTGGGTAGATTCTGCATATGAGCAAAAATGTGGTGTGGTGTCTTCTTTCTAAAAGTATATGACTGTACTTAATAGTACACATTTTGGGTCCACCCATTTTCCCACAATTTTTTTTTTATTTTGTTTTTGTTTTTTTGAGACAGGATTTCTCTGTAGCTTTGGAGCCTGTCCTGGACCTAGCTCTTGTAGACCAGGCTGGCTTTGAACTCAGAGATCCACTTGCTTCTGCCTCCCGAGTGCTAGGATTAAAGGCAAGCACGACCACCGCCGGCTGCAAATTTGTATTTTTCTCTTCAGCTGAATAGTATTTTATACAATTTTCATTATTCATTCATCTGTTCATAGATAATTAGTTTGATTCCAATACTTTTCTTTTGGTGATTATAATAGCAGTAAACTTGGGGTATAAATATCTCTGTAGTGGGGTGTGTTGTTCTCTGGGTATATGGCCAGGAGTGAAAGAACTGGGTCATGTTAGTTCTCTCTTCAAGTTTTTCAAAAATCTCCAAACTGATTCACATAATGGCTGTATTAATTTGCACCCTCCCCTCCATCAACAGTGAATCAGACTTCCCTTTTCTCCATATGTCATTGAACATTTATTCTTGGGTTAGTTGATGACAGCTATTCTGTTTGGGGTGAAGTCATATATTGCCAAGTAGTTTTAATTTGCATTTCTGTGGTGGCCTTTTTAGGATCCTGAATGCTTTTGCAATGTTTATTGGCCGCTTGAGTGGTCTCTGGTCTTGAAATAGTGTCTGTTTAGTTTAGTTGCCCATTTGTTGATTTTCTAGTTTTATTTCCTCAGTATTTAATTAATTTAATTTCTGTTAAATTCTTGCTGTGAGCTTTATCTAAAATGTCAATGATAAAAATTTTCTTAGCTATTGCTTAAACATTTTTTGATGTGTTTTGGACTTCCCTTGATTTTTATTACTCTTCAGGAGTGAAGTGAAATATTCTCAAAAACCTCCGAATGGTTATTTGTCTCTCATGGCTTATGCATATTCTTAGGGAAATTATGAACTACATGCAATATGGCCAATGCAGATTTTTCTATCAATTTGTAGTGGCCCAAAAATTCTCGTAAAATTAGTTCCATAGAACCCTTATCTTATATATTAATTGGCAGTATGTAGTGCTGTTACAATCCTTGCTACTATGAAAAAAAAGTCTTTACCTTTAAAATCAGGCATATATTCTGCCTTCCATACCTACACTTTTGTTCCTTAATGTTGTGACTTTGTACTTAGAGTTTAAGCATCCTACCTGATGCTTACAATCATGTAAGGCCCAAGTACACACAAGAGTGATGTGATATATGTCAATGTTTTGGCATGATCTACTGGTACAGCAATTGAAGCACATTTCCTCCTCATGAATTTTCCTTCTGAGACATGTCTGCTGTGATCTTGTGTAACATAAACACGGCATCTGTAACAGATAGATAATGGTTTCCAGACATTAACCGTATTTCTTGTTTCATGTATATGCTTGTAAGACTATTTCATCTTGTTTTCACAGAGTTAGAACATTCATGATAGAGTATGACTGTATTGGACATCATCTGTTTCAGTAATTATCTTCGTTTATCCACATTCTGTTTCCATATATCCAGGAAAGCACTTCCAGGTAGCACATGGTTAAACTGTACCTTTTTATTTCAGGGTCTGTTGACATTCAGGGATGTAGCTGTGAACTTCTCACAGGAGGAGTGGGAATGCCTGGACTCTGCTCAGAGGGCTTTGTGCATTGATGTGATGTTGGAGAATTATAACAACCTGATCTTTGTGGGTGAGAATGTTTTGCTTGTTGAATTCCAAACCCATCTTTTGTATGTTCTGATTTCATAGGATGTTTTTTTTCATGGGATGTTAAGATGTTCTTCATAGGATGTGTTAAGCTGTCCTGAAAAAAAAAAAACAACAAAAAACAAAAATCAAGAGAAGACAAGACAATGTTTAGTAGTAGAAAGAACTTTTTCAATGCTTTTTAGGTTTCCCTTTCCATTTTCCACTTTTAGAGGTATCATTCACTCTTCATTTTGGTTCTAAGATTCATCTATAACCTCAATAGCATATACTATTTCCACTAATATCTTAAATCTCCATATCTATTATTGCAATTGACGTGGTTTTAATTATGAGAAAATTTCAAGATATACAAATTGAAAGTACTAAAACCCTGAAGATTTTGAAAATAATTATCAGTTGAAAAATCCTGTTTAAATTCTTCTGCTTTGTGGGGGTTTTGTTTGTTTTTATTTTTCAAGACCGGGTTTCTCTGTAGATTTGGAGCTTGTCCTGAAACTAGCTCTTGTAGACCAGGCTGACTTTGAACTCACAGAGATTAAGCTCCCTCTGCTTCCTGAGTGCTAGGATTAAAGACTGCACCACCACCACCCGACTTCTGCTTTTTATTTTTATGTACTCAGCACAGAACTACTATAGACTTTGTATTCTTTCTAAAATCTCTAGCATGGATCATGGGCTACCTGAAAGAACATGTGGATTATTGTGTGCAATAATGATCACCTGGAATGTGAAGAGGAGAGAGTTGCCATAACTAGGGTGGGCTAGTCAATGAGTGGGACAACAGTGATGACTTAAGTGAAGGAGAAAGCAAGAGCTGAGAATGTTTTTGTGATGTTCAATTCCACTTGAAAGGATTTCTGATCATTTAACTTAGTATAGTGTCCTGGCCCCAGGATGCATCCTGCCTGTTGTAATAACTGTTAGAAGGTATTCTGTCTTATTACATCTGAATTATGGTGACTTAATACTAGTACAAAATGCAGTTTTACTGACTATACTGAAATCAGATCTGCATGATTTGACAAAATTTTAAGTCTAACGTGAGTCTATGAAGTAGGATTATTCTGTAATTTCCTTCCTTGTATATATATCGTCATATTACATCCTTTATTTTCTTATTTATTTATTTATTATGTATACAATATTCTGTCTGTATGCCTGAAGGCCAGAAGAGGGTGCCAGACCTCCTTACAGATGGTTGTGAGCCACCATGTGGTTGCTGGGAATTGAACTCAGGACCTTTGGAAGAGCAGGCAATGCTCTTAACTACTGAGCCATCTCTCCAGCCCCCGCATCCTTTATTTTCTTGCCAGTGGAAAACACATAGACACTCTTCTGAGAAATAATCTCAGAAGTCAATGTACAGAATGGACTTGAGAATAACTCTATGAGGAAAGTTAAGAAACACAGCAGTGTGTGGAGCTCAGGCAGTGGAGGATAGAAAAAAAGTAATAACTTCTCATGACATTTCTGCCTCACACAATCTAGAACCTCTGATGTCTGGCAGAATATTGTCTTTGCATCCATTCCTTTTGAAGAATCTATTGTGTTTTTCTAGAAAGAAAAGTAAACCCTGTGATACTTTTAAGTAAGACTTTAATCTGTAAAGGAATTGGGTCTTCTGAATAGTCTTCTACATTGCCCATCACGTAGTACGTACAAGCACTGTAAACCTGGGTTTGTTTCAAACTCTTCTTCATCAACTTCTGAGAAGAAATATTTAAAGATAGAGGTGTATATATTCTAAATACAACCACTCAGGGACCTCTATCCTAAAGTTAGTTCATGACCCTCAGTTATAGTTTTCTTTTTCCCACTTATAGATTTTGGATAAAGATCTGTTATAAATCACTGACCTTTAAAGGCTGTCGTGCTGTTTTTGTGAGAATTCATACAATTATAGTGAATGTCCATTACTGTGAGCATATATATTTAAATTTCTTTACAAATATATATATATATACATATATAAATATGCAAGTTGACTTATTTTAAAGAACTTAAGGAGAAGTCATTCATCATATGTATATAATTGGAACAAGCTTTATTAATCTGAATTGTACTCATTTTCAGAGAACTATTGCATATGTGATCCTGTCCATCAACATGTGAAGATTGGAAAGCAGTCTAAAGACTTTGAGAAATCATTAAATTTGTGTTCCAACATTACTCAAGATGAGAGACTCTATACTGCAAACAAAGAGCACAGTCAGGGAGAATATGACTATTTCAGCTCTGCATGCAATTTTTTGCAACAACCAATCTATATTAGAGAGACAACACACCATCGTGGGAAATGTAAGAAATTTGTCCACACTGCCTCAAGCCTCACTCTACATCAAAGAATTCATCCTGGAATTAAGTCCTACAATTACATCATTTGTGAAAAATCCTTTATCCAGCATGCAGATCTTAAAATGCAGCAAACACTTCATACTGGGGAAAAAACTTACAAATGCAAAGAATGTGGAAAGTCTTTTCTTGAATTATCTCATCTTAACAGGCATTACAGAATCCATGCTGGTGAAAGGCCTTACAAATGTGAGGTATGTGACAAATTCTTTACCTTGAACTCAACCCTTAGAAGGCATCAGAAAATTCATACTGGAGAGAAACCTTACAAATGTATGGAATGTGACAAATCCTTTTCCCGGGACTCACATCTTAGAACACATCAGAGAGTTCATACTGGAGAGAGACCATACATTTGTCAGGAATGTGGCAAATCTTTTGCCCAATCTTCCGGTTTAAGGACACATCAAAAAATTCATATTGGAGAGAAACTTTATAGATGCAAAGACTGTGACAAATCATTTACCCATACTGTAAGTCTTAAAGTACATCAGAGAGTTCATACTGGAGAGAGACCTTACAGTTGTAAGGAATGCGACAAATCCTTTACCACTTGCTCACATCTTAAAAGACATCAGAGCATTCACACTGGGGAGAAACCTTACAAATGTAAGGAATGTGACAAGTCTTTTACTAGCTGCTCATATTTTAGAGAACATCAGAGAAGTCATACTGGAGAGAAACTTCACAAATGCAAACACTGTGCCATGTCCTTTACCCATGTTGTAAGCCTTAGAATACATCAGAGAATTCATACTGGAGAAAGACCATACAGTTGTAAGGAATGTGACAAAGCCTTTACCAATTGCTCAGATCTTAAAAGACATCAGAGAGTTCATACTGGGGAGAAACCTTACAAATGTGTGGAATGTGGCAGATCCTTTACCCTTTGCGCAAATCTTAGAAGACATCGGAGAGTTCACACTGGAGAGAGACATTACAAACATATGGAATGTGACAAGTCCTTTAACCACGACTCAAAACGTAGAAAACGTCATAGAGTTATTACTGGACAGAGAACTTACAATTGTTAGGAATGTGGCAACTCTTTTACCTACTCTTCTGGTTTAAGGAGACATCAGAAAATCCATAATGGAGAAGAACCACACAAAGACAGATGCATCCTCTGTCCAGATTTCAGATCGTAGGAGATAGGAGAAAATTCGTAATGGAGAGAAACATACCATTTGAAAAATGTAATATAGCATTTTCTGGTATTCCCTTCTTATAAATCATAACAGTATGCAAAATAGGAACATAAAGATAAGAAACTTGTGAAAGTCTTTAGAGAACTTTTACATTTTAAAGAATATCCTAGAGATTATATTAAAATACAATTCTAAATGCAAATGCAATGATGGGAAAGCTTTTTATTTTTTTTTAACATGTATGCATGCTTTGCCTGCAGTTAGCCTGTGCACTATGTGTATGCCTGATGTAGGACAGAAGGGGTTATCTGATCCCCTGAAGCTGGAATTACAGACCATTGTGAACTGCCATGCCTGTGTTGGCAATGAACACTGTTCTTCAGGAAGAGCAAACAATGCTCTTACCCACTTAGCCATGTCTGTGGCCCCTGGTTTTAAAAAAAAATGTAATAAAAACATTTATCTTGTTCTGCAATCAAAAAATCATATTACTGCCAGGTGTGGTGGTGCACTCAGGATGCAGAGGTAAAATGATATCTGTGAGTCAGGGAACATCTTCAACTTCATGCTGAGTTTCAGGACAGCTCAGACTTCACAACCTCTTTGTCAAAAGAAACAGCAACAAAATTCTAATAGAATTACATAGAAAATATCACAAAACCTTTCATTTTCTTTCTAATTTTGCTATACACTACAAAACTCTTACCTTTGAGAACCAAAAAAAGGTAGAGAGTATAGATTCCCCATGTCTGTCAATTGGAAGTTATACCTCCCTAAATGCCTTGAATTTGACAAACCCTTCACATACTGCTGAAATTGCAGAGATAAAAGAAAATTCACAATTAAAGAAAACACTGATAAATTCTTTTACTCACCTTCCCGTTCTTCATTCTAGAGTCAGACCATACAAATAGCAAGAAAGGAACTAACTGTGAAGATGTAGGCTGTGATTGTGCCATTACCGGAATGCTGACATACAAATTAGACATTCCCAAAGGCTAAGGATTGTGATACACCATCCCAGCTCTCTGGAAGCATAGAAAGGTGTGTTCCTGTGATTTCTAGGGTAGCATTGTCTACATTGCAAATTCCAAATCAGCCAGAGCTATATAGGAAATTCTATCTTGAAAAACCAAAATAAGATCAAGAAAGAAATCCTGACCAGATGCAGGACTTCATTTTGAACTACTGAAGAAAACTTGGGAAGAATTTACTTGAAACTCTATAATAAAATGATATAACTTATGTTAATTGCTAGTACACCTTCTCTGACGTAAAGGTGACCTGTAGGACCCACCCTCAACTATGTTGAAATGGTAGTTACCCCAATCTTACACAGTTGCTTTTTCTTAGTCTCAAATAGTTATTAATCTCTGCATTCCCACTACCTATTGCAGGAGAAGACTTTCATCTATGTTGAGAATAGTATGAAGTTATCATCTTAAACATGAATATTTAGATGACAGATTAATGGTTATGAATGTTAATCAAAACATCAATAGAGTTCCGACCTACAACCTATAGGTCTCAATGTTTTTGTTTTTTGTTTTACCATGGCATGAATTCCTCTATGTGGTACAGGTTTGAAATCCAATCAAGAGAAAGTTTGTTTATGTCCATTAATATTGGTGCCAGTTTTGCACCCACATCTTGGCTGGCAAGTTTTTATTGTAAAATGTATGGTCCAGGGCTAAGTAAGACCACTGACATCATTTCTGTGAGAACAGCATTCACAGGACTTTACAGTGCCACAAAGACTGGCCAGCAGGGACTTTTGCCTGGTATGTTCAGTATTGCTCTCTGTCTTGCAGTGTCAAAGTGTTTGGTATCATCAGCTACACCATGTACTTATGGTGTCTGATCAAGAGCACTTGGAATGACCTGTTTAATTTATGGTGACAATGGGGCCTCCCTGACCAGTTAATCCTAGGCAAATAACCAGTATCTGGTACAGAGAGTTCCACTAAATAACCCTAGTGTTTGGAAGCAAAATTATTTACCCATGTGGGACACCTTTAGTAATTTGTAAGATAAGGGGATTTCATAAGGTTTCTACACAAATTTTTACTTTGGTTAACCCACCATACTCCTCATCCCTTCTCTTTGTTCTATCCCCAGTTAAAGATTTAACACACATCCAATGCCCAAATCCTTTATAACACATGTTATATGAAGAAGTTATCCAAATATCTACTTTTTCTATTCCTATTGGAATATTGTCTGCCTCCAAGCATTCACCTGTAGCCTCATGGTGTGTGCCAAATGAATGGTTGACTGAGGGGGGAAAAAGACTATGGCCTAGTTTCTGATGGCTCTGCACATGATACATGCACCACCAGAAGTGGGCAGCTGCAGCATTACAACTCCTTTTAGGAACAACCTTGAAAGCCAAAGTTGAAGGGAATCTACTTTTAAACCGAAGAAGCAACTACTAATTTTAAATATTGTACATTGGCTTTGATTTTTTTATATTGATAAAAAGTTGAGATTATTTTGTTAGAATGCACTGTACATTCATTTCTAGTCTTGTTCAAGGTATGGTACCTATGAAACTTAAATTTAACAACATAATGCAAATTTCTAGTCCTTGAATTTTATTGACTGTTGGCTGGCTCCCTCCTATGGAAGGTTGAATGTTGGCTTCCGGTACCATGAAAGCTAGTCCTCAGAGAGGTGACTTTTCAGTCAGTTCCATCTGGAGACCTCTAGGATTTGTGTCTGAAGTCCATGTCTTCTTCAACACTAGAAATTCAAGTTATGCCTCTGAGAGGCAATCACAGGTAACAGCAATATCCTGTAATGTTTGGAAGTCTCTTGTTAACTGTGACCAAGAACTTCAAGGCAGGCTTCTTATACCTGGTTTTGTGGTGATATCTTGTTTATACAAATAAAACTTGCCTGAAGATCAGAGAGCAGAGCTAGCCACTAACTAACCATAGAGGTCTGGAGGACTGTAGAGATAGACAGGAAGTGATATGGCTGGGCAGAAAGAGGAAGTGATAAGACAGGAAGAGACAGGAACTCAGTCTTTTCAGCTGGGAAGTTGAGTAGGTAAAGTGACTGTGGTTTGCTCTTTCATCTCTTTGATCTCTCAGCACTTTCTCCTATATCTGACTTAGGACTTTTATTACTAAGACCTTTTATAATGCATGCTACAGGTCTTGGTCATTGTACTAGAAATCCTATCACTCATGTGAGGGGGCATCATCAGTGCCATTGGGATATTTTCATTTATACACTAAATGTATGTGCTTGCAGAGAGTTATATTATTATAGGCATTTTGGGTGGGTGAATAATAGGCAAAGAATAGATGGATTCCTTGTGAATTTTCCAGACATCCTTACAGTTATTTTACCCTCCTCATTCTGTGTTTTTATCTGTCTGTTCTCCATACTTAAATCCTCACTCTTGATTTTTCATTTCTCCCTTCAGATCACTTGTTACTCACATCTCTATTACTCCCCGGTGTCCTATAGTGCTCTCTTTTTACTTTCCTGGTTACTGGAGTCACTCCAGGTTGTGCACTCACATTTGAAGATTTGAAGCAAGGGACTTCCTATGGGAGACAACATGCCATGTCTGTGTTTCTGGGTCCAGGTTACCTCACTCAATATGATCTTTTACAAGTCCAACCATTTACCTGTGAAGCTCATGATTTCAATTTTCTTTTCAGTATTCCATAGTGTATGTGAACCACATTTTTACTATCCATTTGTCAATGGAAGGACATTTAGCTTGTTTCCATATTGCAGCTATTGTGAGTAGAGCAGCAACTTGCATGGGAAAGCAATTATATTTGGAGTAGGATGTTGAGTCCTTTGACCATATGCCAAAGAATGAAACAGCTATGATATGTCCTTAATTTATTTAACTTGAGGGTTTATTTAGTTGAGGATTCACTATTTTGATTTTCAGTATGGCTGGATTTTTGTTGTTGTTGTTGTTGTTGTTGTTGTTGTTTGTGGTGTTTTTATTTCTTATGGCATTGTTTTTATGTTGCTGTTGGTTGGATTATTTCTAGTATTCCTTTTTTCGAGAAATTGTGGTTTGCTGTCTTGCTCATGGATAATTACTTTGCAGTTCTCCTGTATTTTTTATTATTCACGTGAAATTTATTATTTCCCATGTTCTCACAGATGATTCCTCTGACTCTCCTGTGAATGATTTTTCTGTAGTTTATTATCTGTAGTGCTGCTTTAGTGAAATTAATTTTGTCAGGTAGTGACTAGCTTGAAATTCACTTATGTCTCCCTCAATTGTAAGAGAGTAGTTTTCTTTGGGCAACAATATGGAGGCCTGAAAATATGAGCCTATTTCCATGTTGAACACGGTCAGAGAGTTGGAACTTATCTCCAGTTCCTTCAATGTTATTCTGCTTCTATATTCTTTACTATATTTCTAAATCCCCATGCCTCTACCCTGGCAAGAGGTATTTTTATTGAGGCTGGTCTCTGATACAAGGTGCTTGATGGTGATTTTCTCTTCGAGCTTCAAATGTCTTTTCATGCTCTCCTATCTTTGGGATCGTTGATTAGACATCTGATAGAATTCTGTGGTTTGGGTCTTTTCATGTGGTTTGAAACTGTTCTCTAACAGCTTTCAGTATGGATTTTTTTTTTTTTTTGGTTTTTCGAGACAGGGTTTCTCTGTGGCTTTGGAGCCTGTCCTGGAACTAGCTCTGTAGACCAGGCTGGTCTCGAACTCACAGAGATCCGCCTGCCTCTGCCTCCCGAGTGCTGGGATTAAAGGCGTGCGCCACCACCGCCCGGCTTCAGTATGGATTTTAACTCTCCCTTTTTGACCCCTGTATTTGAAAGGAAAGCAAGGCATCTATTTATTGTTCCCGAAATAGAAACGTTCAGAAGAGAAACAGTAAGAAATGACTGATTCTCCTGTAAACATGTCACAGGTCAGGGGTCCTTTCTACTCTTTATCAAAGTATTTTATACCTTGGTATATTAAAAAAAACCTTTAATTTTCTGCTTCTGATAATTTTTCAAAACTTTATTATGAGAAATTCTGCAAATTGACAAAACTAACTCACTCACTGAAATTAAACACACTAAAAGACTATGAAACTCAAGGTATTTTTATTTATCTAGAATCATTATAGAGGACAGAAGCTCAGGAATCTCACATGGGATTGTATATTTTCTCAATCAAACATGTTTTAATTTGCTTATCTGACACCAAAATACCAAAAACCTTTGGCATAATTAGAACTAGAAAAATACTTAAACTTAAATCCTTATTATGACGGTATTCATTACCTGTATTCAGTCCCTGATAATTTAACCTTTACTGTTCTCATTATGTTGTACGCTCCCCACATATACATTACTTCTATATGCATATTTTATTGGATAGATTCTGCATATGAGTGAAAAGATATATGTTCTTTTTAAAAATGAATAACTGCATTTAATACTACACATTTTGTGTCCATCTATT